TCACCCAAAAAGTTTACACCTCACAATCTCAGTTTTCTAGCTCAACGAAAACTCTCACAATCACTCACATTGTAATCACACACTACAACCTCAAGTGTTGGTCTCTCACGTATCGCCTCCCTCAAGTGCTCAGAATTACAACCCTCTCTAGGCTTTACTACTGACAGCACTGCTCTTGGTATCGATCATGTCTCTCACCACACACTCCTCTCGGTGTATGTAACGCCCCGCCCAGGAATCCCGGAGTCGGTACGCTATTAGATATGATGGACTGACCTCACAAACCACCACATGTATTTTCAGCATGTTTTGTCCTCACTCACGCGCTCCCTGGAAAAACTTCCCAGGGGGTCACCCATCCTAGAATTTCTCCAGACCAAGCACGCTTAACTTTGGAGTTTCTAAGAGTTAGGTTCCCGAAAAGAAGATGCATCTTGGTGGTATGAGTATTCCAATCAAATCTATCAATACTAATCACATCACCCTCTCAAGGGTTGGGGTATTACATACTCCCCCCACTTAAACTCACAACGTCCTCGTTGTGCCAAATCATATCATCCAAGACCGTACCATCCGTGTGAGATTCTAGAGGTGGCTCCTACGGCCTCAAGAGGTGGCTCCCGCCCTCTCGACGTAGCACTTTGCGCCGCATAGCACTTAGCTCTCACAATTCCGGTTGGCTTGGCTCTGATACCATTTGTAACGCCCCGCCCCGGAATCCCGGAGTCGGTACGCTATTAGATCTGATGGACTGACCTCACAAACCACCACATATCTTTTCAGCACGTTTTGTCCTCACTCACGCGCTCCCTGGAAAAAATTCCCAGGGGGTCACCCATCCTAGAATTTCTCCAGACCAAGCACGCTTAACTTTGGAGTTTCTAAGAGTTAGGTTCACGAAAAGAAGATGCATCTTGGTGGTATGAGTATTCCAATCAAATCTATCAATACTAATCACATCACCCTCTCAAGGGTTGGGGTATTACAGTGTACTTGTGTAATACAATGTGAATCTCACAATAAGGCTCAAATATAAATGCTTGTTCTCTACAATGGGTGAGAACTCATTATAAGCCCACATTCTTAAGTAACACTCCCCACAACCTAAATAATACAATGTATGATATACTAAAAGCTCAATAGGTTGTGTGTGTAAACAAAAAGCAATATCAAAACTAAACTCAATGTAAATTCTAACTAAATAAAATGAATAAATAACAAATAAATGTATGAAGCTAGAAATTGAGTTTAGAGGAATCTTCTCTGAAAAACAAGAGAGGGAGATGGATGAAATTGAAGCTCAAACAATAGAATTAATCTCCTCTTCTTCTTGTGAAACTTTCTTCACAAAATACTTATGAAAATACCCTTAAACAAAATTTAAACACCCTTTATACTGGTTTAAAAATTTTCTTGGTTGTTGAAAATGTTAAATGGAAGGGGTATATATAGGGTAGAAGAACACAGCCCAAGAAACCAACAAAAACCCATAAAAATATCAAATACAGCATAATATGGAAAATAGTCGTTACTATGTAACGGCTCTTAATAAGTCAACTTATGACAGGGTATAAGTCGATTCATATGTTATAAGTCGATTTGTTAGTGATATAAGTCGACTTTAAGATTAAAAACACTATTTGTATAACAGTTTGTAAGTCGACCTGACAGAGGGTATAAGTCGACTTAGTATAAGTTGACTTGCTGGAATAATAAGTCGACTTAGCAGATAGTTAATGCTAAATCCAGAGCAGATCATAAGTCGACTAATCAGTGCTTATGAGTCGACTTATGAACGTGCACACGTACTGTGCATGTTTAAAAACTGAGTTTTGAAGTGCCTTGAAAAATTGTAAATAAATTCCAAAAAATTTAAAACTTTTAAAAATGATTATAAACATGTTACAAAAAGAATTTCTTAATTTGCACCTCCCAAATGAGAAATATTTTCATTTTGTAAATACACTCAAATACATGATTTGTATAAACACTTGACTTTTGATTTTTGACTTAAACAAAAGTCTAAAAACTTTTGTATGGCTTTATAGACTTAGGAAAAAATATAAACTAGTATTATCAAGTCCATAAACTAAGAATGCAATGTTTTATCAAAAATACACGTATTATACAATCTTTCAAAATAATAAACATGATTTTAAATCTTGATTTTACTGAAATCATATCAAGCACATATAAATATGAAACGAATATGAGTGTATACAAGATATATTTATTTGTTTCATATTTATGTGGATAAACACATTATTTTCCAAAACAAAATCGATAAATAGGAAATTAGTATATATGTATATGTATATAACCATTAGTTTCAAAAATTATTTTTCAAAACAAAATCGATAAATAGGAAATTAGTATATATGTATATGTATATAACAATAAAAATGAAAGCAATGTGTGTGCATAATTTGAGTTCTAAGTATCAACACATAAAGTATAAACTTATACTACAAAAACTATACCCAAGCAATCTTGATCTTCAATTAAGCTCGTCTTGGTAAACATGGATGAAGCTTGAACTAGAATGTTTGACTTGAATTGTGAATTGCTTCATTCCGATATTTCTTCCATCCTCCAATGGACATGATTGTGTAGGCGCAATCCAACCAACCTCCGACATTGATGTTTGTCTAGAATACCTAATAAACAAAACACAAATACTAGACAAACGATGTTAAGAATTGTTTGTAAATCATCAAAACAAGATTAGAGATATAGGCTCATAAACATGAGTCCTAACACTATACCACTGGTAGAAAATGAAGTATCACAGACAGAATATCCCAGACGAAAAAATTTCCGTCTGGGATAATCTATACTAGACGGAACTAAACCGTCGATGATTTTCCGTCTACATTATATTATTGTAGACGGAAATTTCTGTCTAGAATAGTATTGTAGACGGAATTTTTTTTTAATTTTTTTTTTGAATTTTACTGATTATGCTAGACGGAAATTTCCGTCTAGGATGAATCCTAGACAGAAATTTCCGTCTAGGATAATTGGTTCAATTTATAAAAAGGAAAACCCCAGATCTGGCCTAAAAATTCCCAAATACTCACCGTGCCTTTCTCTCTCTCATCCGCGATCGTCTTGGTCGTCGTCGTCCCGTCCTCGGTCCTCGCCGTCCCTTCCTCGCCCGACCTCGCCATCCCGTCCTCGCCGTCCCTTCCTCGCCCGACCTCGCCATCCTGTCCTCACCGTCCCTACTTTTCTTTCGTTCAAGGTATAAAATTCTCTCTTTTTTCCTTTGATTTATTTATTTAATTTTTGCGTCCTTTCCTTATGATAGTTTCTAAGATTTCGTCAATTGAGGAAAAAAGTTGTTCTTTCCTTTTATTCCCAAGAAATCCCCAAAAATTAGGGTTTTCTGTGGTTACGAAATTAGGGTTTCACTGTGAAAGATGCCTCTACGATTATAACTATTAGGCTTTAAACTTGTTTTTTATTCGATTTTAGGTGTACAAGTTGGTATAAAGGCTTTGCATTAGATAACTATTAAGTGAACTTAACATATATTCTTTTAAATCTTCTTAATATATTTTTAAGTTGAAGTATTGTTTTTAGATTCATAGGTTGCATATGATTTTGATGTTTATAAGTAGCCATGGGTGTATATCATTTTGCATCTGTGCATAAAGTAACTTTTTTTTGTTTATTCTATACCATTAGAGAATTCTTTAACCTAGTTCTTTTGCTTGTGTTGAATTTATTTTGTGAATTAGATACATTCAGGCCCATCTGATTCATTTCCATTACATTTTAGTTTTGATTGGCTTTAGTAGCAATAAGGGAAACTATTACTCAATAGCATGGCCACCAAGCCACAGATGTAACAATTGTAGATTGGTCCTGATTAATTGTTTGCATATGATATTTTTTGAATTATGTGAAATGAATTTCGTGTATAAATGAATTTTCTTCCACTGCTTCATCATCTTCTTCTCATCAATGCTTTCTTCATTTTCCTTCGCATAACCCTCTTTCAGAATATCTAGTGCAAGAGATTATTTTTCTTAAATTGGAGAATCACATGCGTACAATCGATAAAGCATAAACCAAGATATATAGCAGTGAATTAAGTTTGAATTTATATATGATACCTCCTCCTCATTGGCAACTTCTATTTCTGTTATCTTGTTGAGCTAGTTAAGCCCACAAGGTTCTCATGTTTATCATACAGTTTGTGATTTGAATTGTACAAATGTGATTATATAGGCTTGTGATTTGAAAATGTGTTATATATCCAATTTAGGTAAAAAATATAACGTTAACCCTAGACTCCCGTCCAATAATTACAGCCAATTCTTTGAGGTTATAATATAAGATGAACGAGTCAAATTTGGGTAAGAGGTAAATTTTCCTACTCGAAATTGATCATTCACTTTATATTATAATAGAAATGAATTGGTATAAAAATTTGTAATTATTGTTATTGGATCTGTCCTTCTCGGACGGGTTACGAATATAATAATGCATACATCCAACTTTGTATACTTTGTATGATTTCATTTCTTAAAAATTTTGGCAGCCCATACCTGTTGTTCTCCGTGTACAATAAGCGTATGTTGTTTTGCGTTTTGATATGTTGTCAGTGCGCATAATAACATCCGCACAGTGTACAGGGAGAACAGCGGGTAGGTGCTACCAAAATTTTTAAGAAATGAAATCATACAATGTATACAAAGTATATTCTTAATGGATAGAAGCCTTCCTATGATAGCTGTTAGAGTGTGCTAATTAGTCTCCACACCTTAATAAGTTTCAAACATACCTTAATGCCGATACTTAAATGCAACAACGTAAGAGGAATAGTTTAAAATTTATGGGTATACTATCTATTCTCAAATATATTTCTAAATATATATTACCTACAGATAAGGAAAATTCCTGACAAGTCATGGATATATATCCCTAGGAGTGAACGGTTTCGTGATCAACGATATAGGGATGGATGTGAAGCCTTCATGAAGTATGCCGAAATGAACCCAAAAAATTTAAGTAGCGGTGCAATGTACTGCCCCTGTTATAGGTGTAAGAATATGAAGCTGAAAAATAAAGATGAAATACGAAGTCACTTAGCAAACTCTGGTTTTTACGAGGAATATAAATATTGGTCCTATCACGGGGAAGGCCGTACCGAAGATGAAGTCCCGGATGTGCATGTCGATACCAGTCATGGTGTCAGGATAGATGATACAGACGTAAATTTACAGACTGATATCGGACCTGACCATACCGAATATGATATTAACAATGACAATGAAGATGATATCATAGTTGATGTCCAAGACGCTCATGCTCCTGAGGACTTGGATCGTATAATGAAACTACTAGAGGATAGTGAAAAGGATTTGTATGAGGGTTGCACCGAGTACTCCAGATTTTCATTTATGTTGGAGCTCTTACATTTTAAGAGCCTCAGTGGAATGACAAATACTCATTTCGAAATGCTTCTTGATTTACTACGGAAGGTAGTTCCAGGAGGAGAGCGTAGCATTCCTAAAACAACTTATGCGGCAAAGCAAATAGTTTCCGATTTGGGGCTTGATTACAATAAGATTGATGCGTGTCCCAATGATTATATTCTCTACTACAAGGATAATAATGACCTTCAGGAATGTCCAACATGTGGAGTTTCTCGATGGAAACAACAAACCCGCTCTTCAACAAGGCAGCCAACAGAGTCAATGTACCAGCAAAGCATGATTCCAGCTAAGGTGCTTCGTCATTTCGCGTTAGTTTCCAGATTGCAACGTCTGTATATGAACAAAGACACCGCTAAGAACATGAGGTGGCACAAAGAAGACCGTATAGAAGATGGTAAGCTGAGACATCCAGCTGATGCAGAGGCTTGGAAGCATATTGATAAGACTTTCCCAATTTCGCTCATGAATGTAGAAATGTCAGACTTGGGCTTTCTAGCAACGGATTCAATCCGTTCGGGGTTATGAGTTCAGGTTGGTCTACATGGCCAGTTGTCTTACTGCCATATAATTTACCCCCACTGCTTTGTATGAAACAACTGTATATGATACTCTCATTACTGATACCGGGTGAGCATGCACCGGGTAATGATATTGATGTGTACTTAGAGCCCTTAATTGATGAGCTAAAATAGTTATGGTCGGAGGGTATGTTGATATATGATGCCCACGCTAAAGAGTCGATTAGACTTCGTGCTATCCTAATGTGGACAATTAATGATTTTTCAGCTTATGCTAATCTTTCTGGTTGGTCTACAAAAGGCAAGTTTGCTTGTCCAGTATGTGGCCTAGAATTTGAAGGCCTTCACTTACCATATAGTCGAAAGTGTTGTTATTGGTTCAACAGGAGATGGTTGCCCTCGGGCCACAAATACAAAAAATTGAGCAATAAGTTTGACGGCACTGTTGAGACTAGGACTAAACCACGTCAAATGACCGGTGCTAATATTGTAAAGTTGCTTGAGCATCTTCCTAAAATTAGATTTGGTAAGAACCGATATTCTAAGTACGACTCACTCAAAGTTAGAGGCTCCGGTAAAAAGAAAAAGACACTGAAGAGAAAGAGAGCATTCCAACGGGCACATGTTGATAATGGAGTCGATAAATTACCAAAGGGATGGAGTAAATTCAGTATCTTCTTCCAGCTGCCATACTGGTAAAAGCTCAAAATCAGGCATAACTTGGATGTCATGCATATTGAGAAAAATATTTGCGACAACATAGTTTCAACCCTCCTTCAAGATCCTAATAAGTCAAAGGATGACCTAAGGGCTCGACAAGACTTAGCTGCATTGAATATCCAGGAAGATTTGCAAGCACAAGATGTTGGACTTAAGAAAAAACATAAGCCTTCCTCTCGTGTTACGATATCGACCGAGTAGATGCAGAGATTTTGTAAGGTCCTCAAATCAGTAAAATCACCAGATGGGTATTCAGCTAATATATAAAATAATGTCCAGGTGCAGGAGAGGAAGCTCTTAGGCCTAAAGACCCATGATTATCATGTTCTTCTACATCAATTGCTCCCGGTTGCATTGCGTAATAATATGGAGAAAGAAGCATCGAAAATTATTATGGAGTATTGTGGGTTCTTCAGAAAATTGTGCTCAAAAGTTATTAATGTGAAGGAATTTAAAAAGCTTGAAACAGAAATATCATTAATTCTATGCAACCTGGAGTTAATATTTCCTCCTTCCTTTTTCACGATCATGGTCCATGTTACTCAACATCTAGCCAGCGAGGCAATCATTGCGGGTCATGTATCTTATCGTTGGATGTACCCAATTGAGAGGTAAGGGACTTCACCCAGTGCATTAATTTCATATGCAATGTATATAGCTAATATTTGTCCTTTCCGTGGTTTTTCTTAGATTAGATATTTGTAGTTCATAAAATTTAAATTATTGTAGATATTTGGGGTTTATGAAGCGCCTAGTTCGCAATCGAGCTCATCCAGAGGGTTCTATGGCTGAAGGTTACGTGACCAACGAATGTCATACGTTTGCATCATGTTACATGCGCAATCGCATAAAAGCTAATCAGACCCCAACTAAGGAGAAGAAACTCGTAAAATATGCAAGATCTGACTTGGAGCAGGTTCATGCATATGTATTGAATAATCTTGACATTTTCAACGATTATCGAAGGTAATGTACATTAATTTAGGAATAGTATGACACATGAATTATTTACTTTCATTGTAACAATATAATCTCATTGTTGTATAAATAGGTGACATTTGGAGAAGCTTAACAATGAAATATCAGGCAGGAATACAGCACATGATATCCAAAAAAAACACATCAAAGATTTTCCCGATTGGTTCAGAACCGATGTAAGTAGCGTATAAGTAGTATTTAAATTTTTAAGCAAACTCGGAGATCATTTTATTCAATTGATGCTTGAATTAGGTTGATAAAGACGTTCTTGCTGGTGCCGTAATCTCTGAAGATATTTTAGTTCACGTACAATGTCCTTACTATGAAGTGAGACGATATAGTGAACACATCATTAATGGGTATAAGTTTAAAACAGTGGCGACTGATGATAAGAGGGTAACACAAAATAGTAGGGTCATGGGCTGTTTTGCTCAGGAATGTTTTTCTAGCGTAAGAGATCAAAACCCAGTTGAAGCTGACATCTTATATTATGGCCAGTTGGAAGATATTATAGAGGTAATTTATGGATATGGAAAAAAAAGTCAGCGTAATTATTACATGTTTAAGGTTCGATGGAGTCCTGCCAAACTGCACAAGGATCATTATGGGTTTACACTTGTAAACCTCGACAAAGAGATATATCTAGATGAGAAGTTCATATTCGCAGAACAGGCGGACTAGTGCTTCTATGTAAAAGCCCAAATGTTGCCACCGATTGGGTCGTGCTATACAAAGAGCCAAGATCTATTGTCCTCCCTAATAATAACGCTGATAGTGATGAGGAAAATGAACCAATTGGTTCTTCTGATGAAATTTGGCAGAATTTCTCTTACCCTCAGAATGTCATGCTTGATATGACAGATGTAGAGATTCAGGATGACAACCCAATTTTAGTCAGGGACAGAGAACCAAAGGCAGATGTGCAACTAGAATCAACTACTAGTAGACGAAAGCAGACAACGTTAAATATAGCCCGAACAATTACTAGTAGACGAAAGCAGACAACGTTAAATATAGCCCGAACAATACAAGCAATACCTCGTGGGATACGAAAATAGCAAGTTGTAGAAGGTATATTCTGATATAGCCCGAACAATACAAGCAATACCTCGTGGGATACGAAAATAGCAAGTTGTAGAAGGTATATTCTTTATGTAATTTTAGGCGCGGATGTTATTTAAATGTTTAATTGAAATAGATGTTAATCTTGTGAATTAGTAGGCATATATTGCTTCTTTAATTCTCCTAATCCAATTTTACAGATGAAGAACTCGAGGTTATTCGATCGATCACGTGATCGGCCACAATCTACGAGCCTAGGCTCAAACAGCTTCAGGAGGCACACATTTCATCACATACGGATATGGGTATGAATTTCAATTATCTTTGTACAACTCAAAGTAGACATATGAAACATCATTTATGCTAAGTTATTTTTATATGGGTAGATTATGAGGAATTATCGGGTCGTCTACCGGACACAACTCTAGCATTCTCGCCTACTAAAGGTATTAATCATATATGTGTTTGTAATATTTATCCAATCATATTTAAAGTCCAGCTTTTGTATTTAAAATCATTTGTAATGTTAGCAATATTATTTTTTATTTGCATAGATAATTTGACAGGCATCGATTATTCTTCACCCGGAGCCACTGATACACATGCAGAGCCCTCCCACACTACAGGTAATGGTGTCGCAATATATTCATTTTTACTTTGCATCTCAATATAATGATCCTTCAATTTTCTCTTATTGATTATCTTCTGTAATCATTGTAGAGGGTTCTTGGACACCATCGTCTTTGCATTCTACGCATGGGGCTGAGTTGCGTTCGTGGACCCCTGACATCCCCGATCTACCATTACCTCCAGACTCGATCATATCAAAGACTAATGCTTTGAAGTATCATCCACTTGCACTCAAAAGGCTAGATGAAATAAAGCCTATGATGCAAGTTAGAAAGAAAGTTGCAATCGCTGCGAGGGATAGAGAAGTGGAGAGAGGTAAATATAATAATTTTGTCTCATTATTTTCGCCTTTTTGAACTTAAGTTCTATTGCCAATGTAGGGGCAAAGCGAGACGCAACTGGACCGGGAGGACGTGGTGGAAGCAAGCCTGAGTCCAAACAGGCATCGAGAGGCTTTCGAGGAATTCTTCAGTGGGTTGATAACTTGCCGACCGGCCCGTGGTCAAAAAAATTTAATAACTACATCGGTGTTTTAGTACGGTGGGCCCAAATCATAAACCCGTACTTCAAATTCAAGGAGCTTCCATGGTCCGCATACGAGGAAATATGGAGAGAGCTGATGGTAAATGATCATTACTTCGGTATTTTTTGATATAGAATACGTTTACAAAACGATTGTAATGACATATACAATCAATTTGTCCTAGTATTTGCAATGACATACATGCACCGTGAAGGCATGAACATAGGCAGATATTAAAACTCACAAATATCTTGGGCATACACGTGTACACACACTCATACAAAGTGGAGGAGCACAGAACTCACACCACAAACAGAAAATTCAAACACAAAATGGCTAGTAAATTTCATGTTCCACTGCGCAACATCTAGGTATCCCTTGTGAAAGCACATGTTTGAGACGATTCCAATTCCTCGATCATTCCTTCTTGTTAACACTTAGTCTATTTAAGAAGTTACTTTAGGTAGAAAGTTGGCTACTTCCATGTTGCATCTTTTACTCGTGTTAATGTTGTAGATATTGAATTTTTTCTGTTACATGTTTTTGTTAAAAGTTGTGTAGAAATGATTTTGCATTACTTCGCTGCTTAGATATCTTATATATCTAGATACAAAATTATAGGCATACTATTGTCTTGAGGACTACCTTGGGGGCGTGACACTATGTTTTCAATATCAAAGTTGAGGCCGTGCTCAAATAGTGGCGACATGAGCTGAAGACATCAACATATGATAAATATACCCAAGATTGGCAGAGATTTTTAAATCTCGATGAGAGGGTGGATCTCGATCATTTCACAGCTCTTCTTTTTTATTAGGATACCGAGTCCGCACAGGTATGAGTACATTATCATGTTGCGAACTAAAGCATATTGTAAATGTAATTCATTTTTAACACTTTTGTTTTGTAGAATAAATCTAAGAAGGGCTCAACGAACCGACATAGCAAGCGGAAGCTTGACCACCACTTAGGATCGACGTCCTTTGCCAATCTTGAGTATAGTTATTGTCGAGACACGGTATAATATTTACGTTGTTGTATTCACATGCTACAACCTTCAATATGACCAAACTTTTCGACATTTACTATTATATTTTGTAGGGGAAGCCCATAATGCCGATCAATTTGAAGGCGAAGTTAGCTTACGACACCTTTCACTCAACATATAAAAATGAAGACAAGATTAAAGAAAACATGGTTTTGGTGGTAATTATTTTTCAATAAATCATTAAATAATAACTATTACGTTGTTGTACATTTCATTAATTAGTAGTTTAAACTGTTGTACTTTGAAATCAGGCTTTTTAAAAAAAAATTCGCATTTCCACCCACGGCTTTTTACAGGGCCACATTCATTATTTGACAAATCAATATATATCTATTTTTCTTATGCGATTTAGGATAATATTGCTGCCGCGTCGAAGGATGCAGCACTACGTGCTACCCAAGAAGCTTCTGATGACCCTCATGTCTTGTCTAGAGAGGAAAATAATGCCATTGCAATGAATGTGATGCGGTATAATAACCGAGGCAGATTTCCATTGATGGGGGTTGGAGCTCAGCGGGGTACCTCCAGAAAATCCTCCACGGCATCCTCGACAACCTCGACTGCGACAACATCATCAAACAGAACTCTTGCATCTTCTACAATTATGCGCGTCAATCGTTATCTGCGCGGTAAGATCGACCGTACATTACTCATGCAGATGACGACGGCTATGTGTTCAGATTTGCCTCCATCCCCTACTAGCGACGATGTTTTTACACACATCGTTTTATGCTTGTCCGGGAAGATTTCAGCTGAATTATTTGAAGAAGTTTTGGACCAATTAGATTTAGACGTTGGCGCACAGGTAAATTACAGATCAGCAATTCTTTTGTTGAATTTCATTCTCTAAATGTAAATCTATTTATTTTCAGGCTGGACTTGCTGGAGGAAGCAGTAGTGGCGTGCAGAGGAGGGAACTTGACGATGATGAGGACTCTTGATTTTATGAGGTAAGTTAGTTAATTGTATGTGTCTTGTGCGCTTAAATATTTGATGCGCTTAAATGTTGATACTTGATTGTATGCATGAAGTGTTAAAAGAATAGGATTCAGATTTGGATTTACATGCTCTGTGGATTTATAATATGAGATGTAATTTATCACTGAGGGTGTTTTGGAAGTCACACTCATTATATTCAGGTTTGGGGGGTGTTTTGGAAATGGGATTAGGTGATTTATTTCAGGTTGAGATTTTTGTCAATTATTATTTTTTTGGGATATGGATCTATGCCTTTTTCAGGTTGAGATTTGTATCAAAAATCTCCCACATCCACAACTATTGTTTTCTTGTTGATAACTTTCGTAAAACTTGGAGATATTTTATTTTCATAGTTGATGTTGCTTCATTGAAACCTTATTAATGAAACGGTGAGGATCATATCCACTGTTGATGCTTCATTAGACCAAGTTAAAACCCGTAGCTAACCATGACTTTTATCTAATTAATTGCAACCACTGCCAACTTATTTTCCAACTACCGCAGCACTTCTCTGAGGCTATTAACTAAAAGCATGAAATTTTAGCTAGTCTTTATAGTCTATGATGTTGCATTAATAAACATGCAACTACTACAGCTAGAGCAACGAAATTTGGTGCATATATAATATCTTTTGGCTTTTGAGCTGTATGGATCTATGGCCATCTCATGGGATGTGATGCTGATCACTTGTTATTCATCAAATTAACTTTATAGCTTGAATTTGGTTGATGTGTCCATAGGCATACGAGTAGCCCAAAATTGAGAAATAATTAATTTGAATTTATACTGAAAAGGCACCATCTCATTGTTAATTATAGAGCCTCACCAAGCATTAAGAACCTAGAAACATGCATGGTCTTTTTTGAGCACACGGAACTTTGCGAAGAGGTGGTTCATTGCATTTCTAGTATGATTTTGAGGTCAATTGTTTCATTGAACATCAACTATGATACTCTGATGTTAATGCCACCTTCTTTTTTATCTTGCAGGTGCATGTGTTTCTTCAAGCTTCTCTAGAGAAAATGGACTTGGATATCGGTTTGTAAACCGTCGTCGTATTTTTAAATCACAACTTTCTTTGTGTTGAGCCCAAAACAAACAGTGAGTTCATTCAGTTGTGCGGCAATTTTATACGTATATGTGTGGCAAATTTATAAGTTGACATTGTGTTACTTTGTTGTGTGAAAAAACAAAGTATATATGTGGTTGGTATCATGTTGGTGTGTGATTTATTTATGAAAAAACATGTGTTACTTTCTTGTGTGATTTATTTAAGTTGTTTTGTGGATAGTTATCATGTTGGTGTGGTTGGTATATATGTGCTTTTTATTGTTGATTTGTAAGCTGGATTTACAAGGTTATTTGAGTAGATTTACAGATTTGTAAGCTGTATTTATAGATTTGTAAGCTGGAAACTGCATATTATATCCCAGACGGATTTTTTGCATCCCAGATGGAAATACCCGTCTGGGTTGTAAAATCGTCTTGGCTGTAGAATTCCGTCTGGGATAATATCCCAGACGGAAATTTTCGTCTGGGGTAATTATCCCAGACAAATTTTTGTCCCGTCTGGGATAATTATCCCAGACGAAAATTTTCGTCTGGGATAATTATCCCAGACAGAAATTTCCGTCTGAGATCTAGAATATCTCAGACGGAAAACTTCAGTCTGGGATAGATATGCTAGACGGAAAAAATCCGTCTGTAATGTATTATAGACGGTTTTTTTTTCCGTCTACTAAAATCCGTCTAGAATACATTCTAGAGGAAATTTCTGTCTAGAATAATGTATTCTAGACGGAAACTAATTAGACCCGTATTCCAGACGGAATTCCTTCTGGAATACGTTTTCTGGACAGAATTCTAATTATTCCAGACGGAATTTTCTGTCTGGAATGCGTCGTTTTGTACCAGTGTACATATGTAACAAAGCGGGAAAGTGTTGAGGAGAATTACAGAAAAAAAGGTGTATCAACCAAAATAAAAAAGGAATCTATTCTCCTATTCCCAGCATATCGGGAAAGACATCAAGCAAAAATCAAAATTCAAGCGAAATTGAGAATGCTAATCTTGTAATTTGTGTAATACTTCACAATGTGAGTTCTAACCTCATTGAACGATACTATAGGTATATCCACTTGTTATAAATCCAAGACTGCTACCTTATTCAACAATCATCAATTCAAGCAATTATATTCTTAAAATCATTTTACCACATTAACATTCTGAAGTTATGACATGAAGATTTAGTTATAACTTCATATTTTAACATACATACCCTCAAGTTTAGCAAACCTTTTTAAATTGCTTGTTACCTGAGTTTAAACATATATAACAACATTTTAAAAGTCTTTTTAAACTTATTTTTAAATATTTGTCTAATAGGATTTTAACTTGCATTTTCCGGTTTATTATTTTTAATTTCCTTCCAAGCATACTCAGAATTCAAAGATATAGCGAAAAAGTGAGCATCCTAATATTGTAATTTGTGTAATACTTCACAATGTGAGTTCTAATCTCATTGAACTATACACTAGGGACCTACAATTGTTGTAATCTAAAAAAATTTGAAACTTGTTCCTCATGATTAATCCTGTCTAGATTTGATGTAGCTTTAACTACGGAGAATAAAATTCGTCCATATCCTTTTCTACTTAAAGCCGTGTATGTCAAAGCAAGAACAGTTGGCTTGACACAAAGACAGAAAGATATGACAAATAATGAAATACCAAAAATAATATAAATTTGGAGATTATCTTAAGAAACATTTCAAGCTATTATATTGGATAACATATCGAAGTTTAAGATAATTTCAAGAAACAAAGCATCACACCACCAGTGCAACCAACAATTTCAAACTCTAGATTCACTGTTTATGAACATACATGGGAACCTTAGTTAGAGAAGATAACCGTGGATTGATGAAATGCAGCAACTTTTGGGCTAGGCTTCAATGAATTTGGATGATTGTTGGGGGACCATTCTCATGACGTCTACCTGCGATCAATGCTTGTTGTGATTGAATTTGTATAGTTGGAAAAACATTCTTGATATGAATAGTTGCTTGAGGACAAGGATACATATCTTTTGAGGTATTTGATAACTTGCAATGTTGGATGACATTGCCCATAACTTTGATGCATGGAATAACGATGAACAAGCAACAAAAACGTTGATAAAGACATTACTTTGTTTATTTTCCTCTTAATCATGCACTAGTTTGAAAGATCATAATCTAAATAAACACCGTATTACTTTTTTCATTTTTATGTTCGGACAAGTCACCAACAGATAATCCTATCATCGAAAACGTTCGCGGATTAAGTGTTCTTCAATTTTTTTTAAATAGTAATTGTGAAAATACAAAAAAAAATCATTGGTAGAGGCTAATCAAGTGAGGAGCTGCTAGCTTATACCCTTAACGATAATATATAAAAAAGTAAAATGACAACATTAATCATGTAACATGTAGATGTTGCTGATAACATTGTCAAGGTGAATTGTCATGAATTTTAAATATCAATAATCACATCAATTTAAACCTGCACTAAACTCGGATGTAGTTAACGATTCTAAACAATTCTATGCTGATATTAAAAAAACTCATAGATTTTAAAAAGATTGGTGGAATAAAATATAAAATATCATCATAAAATATTTAAATATTAAATGCACTATACTTCTATATAATCACTTAGATATATAACTATATAGTTATTATAGTATATATATATAGTATCTATATGGCTGATAAGCTAAACTCATAGATTTGATTCAAATAGATCATCATCAGAATATTTTATCTGATACTTAGGTATTAAGAACTGAATAGATATGTGAATTATTAATGATGTCCCAAATAATTTAATAATTTAATAATAAATGGAAAGTATGATTTTTCTTTATTTTTGATTGATAATGATGATTGATATGTTGGGGAAACTTGGATTTTTCCAAGTGAATTTTTTGTGCAATTTGAGCTAAACTTTTTGTTGGGTCCAACTATCTGAAATGGATGGAAGTGAGTTTGAACGCTTTCTTCATTCAAAGGCAATGAATCTGGTATACTCATGAATCGGTTTCCGAATGAATGTGATATTCAAGTCGGAAGATGGACCAAAAACTAAAGTTTAATAGGCGCATCTAATCATGAAGAGTCGCAATTGTTAGGTTGAGTTGTGTCTATTCGAATCCGAACAGTCACTTCCTTTTATTCCGAATGGGTGTGTCCTTTGGTGAAGGGATGTCTTTAAAAGACACATAGTCCCAATAAAAGGATACAAAAATATCATTCCCAAAACACTCATCAATGAATCAAATCTAGTGTGTTTAAGAGAGATCTGAATTTTGTGTTCGTTCTTCTTCTATTCATTTTCCTTTCGGTTAAAGTGGTGGAAAGCACAGTTAGCTTTGGTTTACTACTACAACTTTGTAGAACTGCTTCTCTGAAGCTGTAAATGAGTGTTGTATCTTGGGAGACACTGTCTGATCATCGTGTAAGCAC